ATTGAGACAAAACCAACTGTGTTTATGTGAACCATGAGTGTTTTTGACAGTTGAAACAATAAACGCTAAAGAGAGTGTAGTTTAGCCCCCGCTGGGATGTGCGCGCTCGTAGCCTATATCAAAAAGTTTAACTGGCAAGGTGCACAGTCGTATCTCAGACAGTTTTTCAGCGGTTGAAATTAAAATAAACGAGTGTACGTTGTGAGAGAACAATTAGTAGAGATCTGCCAGAAGAAGCAGCCACTATGAACAGCTGATTTGTACGGAAACATCTGATGGCCAAACTACATTGGAATTCGCAAATGGAAAAATCAAGTGAGCTCGGGCCGATTTGTGTTCATAATGCACGTTTTTAGCGAACCGTACCTTAGCCGAAAGCAAACCATACTCAGACCACCTCCCGAGATGGTCTCGGTTCGGTTCGCTTCTGAGGGGTCTGAGATCGTTTGGAGTGTTCACATATGGGCCAAAAATCACGCGAACTGTGCTCAGACCCCTGAAAAGGACCAAGTGTGAAACACCCTTAAAAGTAAGCTTTGCATAAAAAACTTTTCACATAACTATATTTCTAATTAATATTTTTTTTCTTTTGCTTTACATCCTGAAAGAGTGCACCTTTTTAATTCTGAATTGGGTAACATTTAGAGTTTTTTTTGTTTGTTTGTTTTTTAAAGATAAAAAAGACCCCATGTCACCCAAAGAAAGGCTTATATTCAGCCATTCAAATATCTAAAAGTCCATATATTCTCACTCATTAGACCATGAAAATTTTCCAGTTTGGATGTCCTGATTGTGCCTTTTATTTTCAGCACAGAACAACTGCATTTCAAGATCACAGAACTGCTAATGAGAAAAAGACACCCTATCGTTACACCAGAGATCTGGACATGAAATAAGGAAATGAAGCAGCTTGATTTGGTGCCCTGAATTCCTAAACCAAGATACAGTCAAACAGAATAAAAGACATAAATTCAAGATTTCTAAAGGAAAAGGATTTGCTCATGCAGTGCAAGTTTTGATCGTTATTTACGTTTTAGGCTACATTAACTAGACAGGGCCTTTGTACCAATGACAGCTAATCCACATTTAACATGGTATTTTCAACAACCTGTGTTTTATTCGCTAATAACCTTTCTCAATCCAGGCGGTACAATAAATGTGCTGCTGGAATAGTGCTGCACCATATATAAATTGTCATTGTCATTCTGTTGCACATAAACACTCTCTCTTCTATTCCACCTTGTTCATAAAACTCAATGTTATTGGCACAATCAACTATAAGTAAAGGATGTCAGATTGCGGAAGTCTGTGACATCCTCCAAAACCTACTTAGAAACCCACAAGATGGTGAACTGATCAGTTTAAACTGCTTTCAGCACAATTTATTTGGTATGTTTGCGAGGTTTACATTTTATTTTATTTTTTTTAGCAAGTCAAGCGTTAAAACAAAGTAGACAGTGTGTGCAAATAAATGGCACTGTATGCTATGCAAGCATTTGAACACAGATGTTTAGCTACACAATGGATGTTAGCATAAAAGATTTCTCCTTCTGGTCAACTAATGTCATGGCGGATCAACTGTTTGATGAGAATATTACTTAGCAAGTTAGTTTGTTTACAGCGATTTACCTGAATAATAACACGCATAACAATAAGAGACATTTTAATCAAATTTTAGTGACTTAACCCAAAACGTCAGACTTGAGTGTTGACATGTTGAGTGGCAAAATTCTGTATATCATAAAACCATTTTGGCAAACCAGTGGTAAAGAAAGACCGATGTAAGTTGAGCTTGATAAAATCATTTATTGTGCTCCAGAAGATTAAATCCTATTTAACCAGAAAGAAAGACAAAATGACAAATAATCTACATCACAACACCTCTCAGTAGTTCTCAGCAGCCGTTTTGATCTTCTTTCTAGGTCAGCCAGTAGAAAATAAACACATAATGAAATTTGGTTGCTGTTTATAAGAAAATGGCCCTCAGTCTTGCATTACATTCAGTTACAAGGCTTGTCCTGGCATGTGTGTATGCGAGTATATGTGCATATGTGTGAAGAAACATACTGAGCTGTGGAGATCTTCCCAATTACAGATGAATCCCATCTCTCTCCTTGGTACATGTGCATGCACAAGATGAATCCTCTGAGCTCCCCACCAGTGTACAGTTCATTAAATTTTAATATCGTTCAAAGGAGCTTCCTTTGCAGGGGACACATGGGCAGGCTGACTTTGCATATGCATACCTGCAGATGGGGACTGGTATACAGAGCAGCGATGCTCTCTCTGGCCCGGTTGTACTGCGTAGAGTTGTCACAGGTGAAGGCAGAACAGAGGAAAAGCCCAGAGGAGATTGTGTTCTGAATGGGAACATGTTGTTGGGGACAATGTGTGTCACAAATTTGCTGATCAGTAGAAGAACAGCATGATTCTTTCAATGTTGTTCCCTTCCTTGGCTTCCCTAGTCCCCCATTAGTTCTTTGCCACTAGCTATTCACAAGGGCTCAAGTATTCACTCCCAAAAGCCTATGTTTGACCTGAATGTTTTCCACAACAACTATTAATTAATTACCGTGAGATGTGAAAGGCCGTACTGCTAGTAAAATGGCTTCTTATGTCTTTCACTTTGGTCATTACTCCATATCCTAACCAAGTAAGTATGTTATATGAAAGCAATCACAGCCAATTAGAACATATTTAATCTTTAATGTTCAGTTATGTGGAGCAGGACTTTGGAAATCAACGTCAAAATGACCTGTCACGGTCAAGGCTAGCTAGGACATAAGCGCAGAGCTACAGTAAAATAATAATAATAAAAAAAGATCGCTTTTACTGTTTGTTTAGGAAATAGCATTATCATAGGGTTGTTGACCAAAAGAGCACAAAAGCAAAGAAGAGGACCTCAGATCTGGAAGAACCACATTAGCAATTTATAGCTGTTTTTCTATAATCGTTCGCTACATGCTGAGGAAAAAAAAGTAGATCTTTATGTAGAAGTTTACCTTTCAGTGGTGTTTGTGTTAAATCAAATTTCCAGGAGTAAAAAAGGATTCACAAGAAATCTAAACTGTCACCCTGAAGTGCCTAGTACTCACAGAAAGGGAACAAAGAGTTAGCATCCGATAACTTTTTACCATGTAGTACATAATGCAACGAGGCTCTGAGAAAATTAATCATGATTGTTTCTGGATTCTCTTCCTCTAGCGAGCTTCAATGGCCTCTTCAGATCAGAAGGCCCAGTAATGAACTGTCTCATCAGGGGTCCTCCTGTCTTTAGCCTGGGATTCACTGGTGTCGATCATTAGCATGTAGGATGTTACTTAACAAAGCTTTGAGAAAAGTAAAACAATCGAGGACGGATAAAACCAGCAATTACTGAGAGATTTGCAGGTGAAACTGGCTTTTAGCAGTGAGGCTACTGACTTTGAGCACTTATCTCTGGGTAACAAATGACAAAAGTTTCTCTTTCACTTTGTCCATTTGTTTTCTTTTTCTTTCTATAGCTAGCTTTAAGTGGTATGATCAAGGGCTTCGTAACATCAGAAGCCCCCTAATACACTCTTTCATCAGGGGCCCTCCTGTCTCCAGTGTGGGATTCATTCGTGATGATCATTCAGAAGAATCACAGACAGTTCTGGATGTGAGGATACCAACGCAAGTCTCCAAGTCGTACAGAATATGCGTTGGTCACTGGTTGTTCAAAGCTGCGTGGGGGACTGCCTCATAAAGCACCGAAAACAAAGAAATGAGAATCAAACATTACAGGTAAGGAATTTTTTAAGGTCGGGTGGTTTGACTTTTAGCAAAAATGAACTTTAAAAAAATAAAACAATGTATTATAACTGAGACCAATGAGCAAATCAAAAAGTACATTAATGCCCCACACATGGGAGCTCAAACAACAAGTGATTCACCAATATTAAAAAGTTTTACCAACACACATGTACAAAACTAGTCCTTATAACCAGGTTCACTCAAGATATTTGTGAACGCAATCTAGTAAGCATATCCCCACCCCTTCCTATAAACATCTTTAGAACCCACCGTGTCCGCCCATGTCAGCATTCCAATTCCTCCCGTGAGCCAATCAGAGCAGTATTTCCTTAAACAAATCCAAATGGGGAAGAAAATGATTTTTTTGTTTTAAATAATGACTTAATCAGCAGAACAGCCACCAAGCAGATAAATTGTCATGCGCGTCGTGCTAAAAATATCCAGCCTCCCTTTGAGTCCACCAGTTTCAGTATAGACAGCACTTGTGTGATGAAGCTGTATCTGCCAGGAAGCCAATAAATTCCCCGCTACGCTCTTGAGGCAGATTCCTCAGTATCAATGCCCCCAGCCAGGGCTTAAAGAGCATGGGTGTTTTGTGTACATATCTAGATATGTAAATATGTCCTATACAATAAAATTGTTCCCCCAAAAATAAATTGACAAAAATAATTCAAAGACGTTCAGTGAATGTCTCTATTGTGCATATTCTTGAGGATTTCTCATTCTCTTCTTTTTCCTGTAGTATTCCACATTCTCCACCAGAAGGAGAACACATGCCTAAATTAGGTAAACAGCATCTCCCGTCTGCTCTGAAGAGAGTAATCTACAATCCAGTGCCCCGGGAAAACAATATGTTTCCTTTTGTTTACAAAGGGCCTCCCACACATCATCTATTCTGTGCTTCCGTTGTTTCCTCTCTGGGTAACCGAATCAAACCATTCCTCAAAGAATCCCAGACTGATAGTTGTTCCCAGGAAATGGCCCTGGTTTTGTCACAATATAAGGGTAAAAAATCATCTCTGTTTGTTTTTCATTACATCAGAATTTTTTTTTTTTTTTGTCTTTTAGTTTTTCGCCTTTAATATAAAACGGTGGTTTTGCTCTCGAGGCACAAAGTTCCCAGGAAATGGCCCTGGTTTTGTCACAATATAAGGGTAAAAAATCATCTCTGTTTGTTTTTCATTACGTCAGAATTTTTTTTTTTTTTGTCTTTTAGTTTTTCGCCTTTAATATAAAATGGTGGTTTTGCTCTCGAGGCACAAAAATCAGCATTGTTGTTTACTGTTCCTCGGAGCACCGGGAGTAAAGATATTCCTCAACCCAGTGCCATCTCCTCCGTTTGTTGTCACACTCGTACTCCACAACGGTGGGAGTGTATATGTGTGTGTATGTTGGTGTTTGTGTGTGAGAACGTGTGTGTGTGGCTATACTCTAGTGGTGGAGTGTGAATGAGGGTGTGGATGGGGCAGGGTGTTATTCTGTCCACTGGGGTAACTGTTAAAGGGGTGTAAGGAGGTGAGGCCTGGCATGCTGTTGGGTATCATGGTGATGGTGTTTGGGGTCATGAGAGGGATGTCGTCCGGCGAACGGCGCATGGCGAGCGTGTAATCGGGCGGGCAGGCAGTTCTCAGGACCACCTCGTGCGGGTGCATGGCCTCCCGGCACTCGCGCTCCAAGTCGCTGTGTTTCATTTGTAGAGACATGATCTCCTCTTCTTGCGTATGGGGCAGCTCGTTTGCTGTGGTCCTCTGTGGGCTGCAACGCCGGTGGACCTCGTGCCTTCGCTTATCCTTCTTGTAGTAGAGTGCAGCAAATGCCAATATGTTGAGGAAGAGCAACGAGGCACCAACGGCGATGGTGACGCTTAGTTCGGTGGAGTAGTCCCGCTGATTCTCTAGGAAGGGTTGGTTCTGGTTCAGTGTTTCAGTGGGAAACGGTGTAGGGTAGGGCCTCTTGGTGTTGAGTGGGATCTTTTTTGGTGTACGGGGAGTGACCTCGGGTGGAGGCAACTTAGTGGTGGTGGAAATGATCTGGGGGACCTCGTTGAGGCTGTGGAGATGAGGCACCAGCTCCAGCCATAAGTTGACCTTATTGGCACGGTAATGTTCCTTGACACGGGGCTTCAAGCCGATGTGCAAGTACAGCTGGTCCTTTTGGTTGTAACGCGTCCAGGCCACCTCCTCAAAACGGTTAGGCTTGGTGTGGATGAACTTGGTGTCCTGTGGAACTGGCTGGTTGGGGTCACTGGAAGGTAAAAGGAACATTTCAGTATTTTTTTCACAAAAGATAATTTCTACAATTCCTCTCTCAGAATTACACATGGGCACTCCAAAATCAAGCACTCCATTGGACAAATATCACACAAACCATTACATTAGGGGAGTGCCTAGAGACCCTTAATATTCTCTCAGTGCTCATTAGGGTCTCCTGACAACTGCACCTGCTTTTAAAATTAACGAGAATTAGTCTGAGAGAAGAAATTACACATTTGCACACAAATTGATTTGTTGTCCTCCCGTGAGATGATTACATGTCTAGGCAGCAATGTCATATAAACACTAAACTCACTCTAAGTGATCATCAGCATTACTTTATTCACTGCATTACACCTAAATTGAAGCAAACTAAATTGCTGTTGCATAAAAAGCAGTTGCGCAAATTTAATGTAGCATAACCTTGGGAATTTTAACAAGTATTTGGGAGTGAGAATGCATTAACAAACAATTAAGCAATGATTAAACCTTAGAAACACTGTAGCAGTGTTTCCTGGCAACAACTGGGTATTGTACGGTAATAAATAGCAAAAATTCTGAATTATAGAATGGTTGCGTTGGTGGTCTTACAACAAAAACAAAGTCATATTCAAAATCACTTCTGAATCCTAATTAATGGCTGTATTGTTTGCCAAATGTCTAATTGATTAGAAATGATGCCCTGTTGCCTAGAAACTTACCCGGTCTTGGCAAAGTTGGTCCAGTAGGTCATTACCACTGCACTAAGCATCACATCATTTTTGGAGAAGTTGCAGGGGAAAAGCTCAGTTGGACCAATCATGGGCAGCCCAAACACATATGGGATCTCATCGCCATGTGCCGCATCAGCCCAGGGTGGCACCTGCTCTGTCTGGCAGTGATGGTAGAAGGCGTAGAAATAAGTAGGCGAGCCAAAGCTGGAGTGGAGGTCTGCTGTTGCCACTGCTGGTGCCACCCACTGATGATCTGTGAAGAGTGCCAGCAGGGTCTTTCTTCTGGTCTCCGGGTTGTGGCGGTCAGCCCAGTCAGTGTACATAAACTTAATGGTCTCCCGCAGGATGTCCTTCCCCTCGGGGTAACCATATAAATCATCCACAAAACCTGACACGGCATAGTCAAAATCGTTGGCTTGAACTCCGTTCTCGTTGTCTACAATGAGTTCCACAAACTTTAGCCCTTCGCCTTGGTTGACGCCCAGCATGATGTCGTAGTTGAGGAATTCCCCTTGTTCCATAAGGATCTGAGGGTCGTCGGGGATCACATCACCATCAATGACGGGTCCAAAGGCGATGTGGTAGCGAGCAGGCTGGATGTCCTGCTCCACTAGTTCTTTGTAGTGTTTTTTCTGTAGGCACTCTACCATCTCCACTGTATCTTTGAGGTTGCACCCCACCTTTTTGGCCAGCATGCGGGCATACTTGGCCGGCTGAAAGCTGACAGCCCAGCTGGACAAGGCTGTGCCACTTTGGGCTATGGCCCTTTGGAAAAGACCTGTATAGGAAAAACAAGACAGAATCAGAAACAACGAACCACCGTAGCATGCTACAGTACGGTCCACACATCTGCGAACACTAGAGACCATTTGCTTCTATTTATTAAATACGTTTTTATTACAAAGTATATCAGGGGCATAGCATTTTTGTGAAAAAATTTACATAATTTTACATGGCCATAAAAATAGTGCACATTTTTAAATAATATTAAACAGAATATGAAATAAAATGTTTAAAAAACTTCATGCTTTGTTTAAAAAAAATCAAATACTAAACTTCTGTTTAAAATTCACGTTTAAATGAGAAAAAAATAGCAGATTTTCAATGTGCGCTCAGACCTTTGGACCCCACCGTAAGCTATTTACACAGTGCTCCTCAGTATGCAAGCTGGAGCAAATTAACACATCTGGGTTTAGCTGTTTTTATGAAAATCTTAAATGGTTTGGGAAAAGAGGCCATGTAAGTCAACATACGAATGCTGATGAACTTGAATTATACACAGAGCTGATCAATATTTCAGTTTTTTCATGTAATGTTAGGGGGAAATGTGACTTTAAATCTATTTCTTGAATTTCATTACAGCGCATTAACCGTAATTAGCTGTTTGCACTCTGTAAACCCCTTTCACATATAGACGTCAAGAAAATTGACCCACACCATTGAAGAGAAGCAGATATCATGCACAAATATCAAGACAAAAAAGCAAGTGAGTGAGCAGGAGAGAAAGTGTGTGTGCATGTGTGTGTGTGAAAGAAAGAGAAAGACAGACAGAAAGCGCAAGAGAGAGGAAAATTGAGTTACTCTGTTACCATGACAACCCCTGGGATCTCAGTCTTAGCAGTGCAGTTATGAGTAAAAACATGTTCTTACTAAAGGAGAAAGAAACTACAAAAACACACATGGAAATGAAATGGAGATAAGGGGATGTTTCAGTTCGCAATTCAACAAAATGGTGACAATTTTGTATGAACCGATGCATATATTTGTGAATGAAGAATATACTGCTAAAATAAAAAAAAATAAAAAAAGGAAAATATATGAAAATTATTCAAGATTAAGCAGTGCACGGTTTGCTTCAGGGCAAAGCAATCACATGTCACACTAAAGTCTCTTCCAAAGGTGTCTCTGGGTTCATTTGAATGATAGTGACAACCTTAAAGCAGGTCTGTGCCAGAAGACCTCTTCACAAAGCAATCTTCCAAGCAGAGAGACTCAAAATTGAATTAATGTATTTACCCTTTTTGTGCCAATGGAAGGTGAATGCTGTATTTGGACAGTGTGCTCATGGCATGCCTGGTGATGTATATGGACTCAATTAAATAAAGATGAGAACATGAAATTTCCATAAACAAGTGATATCAGTTCAAACTGAGTGAGTTAGCAGCCTAAAGCATGATGAAAAATTAGCTTGGCAAATGCTGGGCCGATGAAGGAACTGCTGTGCAACTTCTCAGCAACGCTGTTGGTTTTAGGATTTTTGCATTACACACTTGAGCTCTGTGAAACTGAGCATTCTTTCGAACTAATTTATAGGGTATAAGGCAGTATTTTGTGTTACAAAAATATATTGCGAACATCTGGTATATAGCCCAGCCCTAGTGATCAGTGCAGTTTTTTTGCAACCTGTTACTGTAATATTCTGAATAAATGTCACAGGTTTTTCATAACTAAGGTTGCAATCCGATTTTCAAATGCAAATGCAGGTAGTTCAAAACAACAAAAAAAATCACAGAGACCAGAATTTCTAAATGAGCCCATAACACAAACAGCTATAGCATGCAGACAAAAATTGTCAAAAGTTAAAACCTCTGCATTGTACCTTTGGTTGAATTGCTCCAACGGTTACCTTCAGAATAATGGGAAATAGTCAGCAGGTTGACACATGAGGCCCCGGCCCCAGACCCAAAAACAGTAATGCGTAAAGGGTCACCCCCAAAGAATGCAATGTTTTCACTCATCCAGTGCAGGGCCTGGATTTGATCAAGAAGTCCATAGTTTCCCTTGGCTGCCTGGTCTCCTGTGCTCAAAAAACCTGCAGAAAGAAAAAAAGAATCGAATGAGTGTTTGTGTGCATTGCAGCGCAATTTTAAAACCTTAAAAAAAGATTGAAAGCAATTGAAATATTCAATAGCAAACTGTAGATGAAAGTATGTCAGAGAAAGTTACAAATTTCTGAAATGAGGGGAAACATTCTTGTCCCTTTTTTTTACATCCATGAAATGTTATCATCACACTTGTTCACCTGAAGAGAGCTTATGTAAACAGTTTTTAATAGTATTTCTTGGATCTCACGGATGGCCTCTCCTTCCCTAGCAGACAACACAGAGTCTGTATTTTTTTGGTTGAATGCAGCATCATTTTTTTTAGACCATTTTAGTACTATTATAAAAAAAAAAAATTGAAATAAAATTAAATGAAATCAACCATAAAGACAGAGATTAAGGAGTTCTTCAGCACTGTTCCAAAACCTAGAAAGCACACTATATAGGCTGCATTTTAAGGCACTATAGGCATAACTTTATTTATTAAAATTCTAAGACGGGACCACATGTATGCTTCGCAATGTAAGCAATCCCAAAATGCACTGTGACAAGTGAAAAAAAAAAATCCATCTAAGATGGAGGATGAAGTGAGATAAACTAATTGAAAACAAGATTATAAAAATAGTTCAATCTAGCTGATTTGAAATGCAGTACCCAGTATTTCTGTTTGCTATAGCTTAGCAACATGCTAACAACAAACTACTGAAATCAGTGGTGAGAAGTCTCTAATGTGCTTCATGAACTCTATTTGTATGACATACAGAGTAGATTGCTACATGTAAAACCTTCCAAATCAAGTCAGTTGTCGTGGTGTTAGCTTAGCAACATGCTAAAAGCAAATTTTTCAGAAATCAGTGGTGAGTAAAGACTCTTGTGTGCCTCATCTGAGGAATGTTATTTGTATGATGAACAAAGTACATTGCTACATGTAAACATTACAAATCAAGTCAGTTATTGTTGTGTTAGCTTAGCAACATGCTAACAACAACATACTGAAATGGTGAGTAAAGACTCTTGTGTGCCTTGTGAGGAATCAAGTAAGTTACAAGATTCAATACGTTTTGAAAAAGAGCCTTTATTATTGTATGTTAACAGTAGTTCCTAACTCTAAACTACATGAATCATTACATTTCTGTGGTTTCACATTAACTCTGCTTGCTTAAAAAAAAAAAAGAAGTTTGCTTTGGTTTGACTTCCACTTAAGTGCACTCAACTTATCAACAAAGTTTGTGGCAGTGAAAAATTTGTGGTTACACAGAAGTAACCCAGTGGTGTGTTTTAACTGAAAACTAGTCAGTAACTACTTCACTACAGTAGCTTATCCTGGGAATATACATCCTGAGGGTGCTTGTGGAATAATGATTGTGTGCATATTCAGTGAATAGACGACCATTTGGCTCTTGTAATTGCCCTCATAGTCCCAGAACACATGAAAAATAATAAAGTAACACAACAAGTGCTTTAAAGTAAGCTCATTTACAGACGCAGACAA